ACAAAAAAATAGTGTTTCCACTATAAACTTATGAAGAATTTTTACAAAAGAAAGAGCTGATCAAATTTAAAAGTTTTAAGGGCATTAAATCTGGAAGAAATTCGGTAGTGAACCTTCTTTCCTTTTTTTGTCTTCTTCTCCACTGCACCACCTAATACCACACATGGTTGCACTTCATCGATCTGAGAAAAGTAAAATACAATATGGGATTTTGAATAAACTTGTCATTCATTAACTTCATGCATATGGCCTAAGAAAGACTAACATCTGCAATTACATACAATGTCAAGGTCCCATATTTCAATCGACGGCTCCATTGAACCAATAGCCACAAAATTCCCTGCAACAAAAAGGAAGAGCAAGTGGACAAATGTGAACTAGCATCTGCTGAAACTGAAAACATATAGGTGCATGATTTTTCCAATATCTAAGATTTCAAAAACAAACAACAACATCCAACCATGTCCACTTAATCTAAAGCCTTAGGAGATTAGGGTGTATAAATTCTCCAGAACAAAACTGAAAATGAAGTACTTCTTCGAAACACACATGCACACAGACACACATAGACAAATACACCCACAAAAACTTTCAAAGAAAATACGAACACAAGTGTCAAACCTTTTTCTCCCCCTTTAAGTGGGAAGTCAAGCCATGCAGTGCAAAGGGGAAATGCTGAAATGATGATATCATGGTGAACATACATATTTGAATCACCATCGTCTGAATCCTCATATATCCAAACCTGCTTGCATAGAAATGGTGCACAATGAATGTCTAGGGTGTTCATGTCTGAGTTTTTGCGAATGATTGCATGTGTGTGTGTGAGAGAGAGAGAGAGAAGGTAACATGCCTCAAGATGGCTGACATCATCTTCATTGCGTGCACAAACTACGACAGCATCCATAGGTCTAATGGTCATGTCCTCAATCTCTTCTGAATCATCATCCTAAAAATTTTCCTAGCATCAGAAGCTAAACAAGTTATGAAAATCAGGCCATATAATATGGAAGTTCAGATTCTTACATCCTGATCCTTTAAATATGGATCCATGTCATTGCTTGGATAGTAAAGGTCACCAAGACCCTTGCTAAATAGCTCAATACCTGACATCAACAATGAGTGGATGCTTCATTAGATACATATCAAACATCAAACAAATAGCAAGGCACAGCCAGTCATAATTAATATCAAACTCTACAAATTCGAAACGTTTCAAGATCAACCACAAATCATCTACTCCTGAAAACAACAAAATAAATGGAAGAAACAAATAAAACCAGTCAACCATCCAAGCAGAGATACCATCATCCTCTTCGTCATAATTTTCCATGTCAAGTTCTTTCAACCCATCTGTAAGATCTTCTAATTGTGCCCCTGACTTGTTGTTGGAAGTTTTTCCAAGGGCCTCTGCCACAGCAAGTGCTTGGGCAACTTCACCGGTTTGCTTCTTAGCTTCAGCATCCATATCTTCATCTTCATCCTCACTACCATTATCTTCACTGTATGAAACAAGACCATTAAAAAGGCTGCATCAATCTAATTCCTTTATGCCAGTGAACTCACTTTTGGTATCTGAAAATGGTTAGTTTCTTTCTCATATATCCCAAAAGCACCTTAATGTCCTACTACTTGACTACATATATGCCCGTAAAAGGAGTCCATTCAACTGAAGCTCCATTCAGTTGTTAATTTCGCTACTTGCTTTTTGCTTCCAAAAGTAGAAAGTAAAAAGTGTATTTGTATAGAAATTCAGATAAAATTTTGAAACAACTAAAATTTATAAGAAAACAAAAATTTTGTGAAATAAGAAAACACATGATTTTACATTTATATAATAGAACAATTATGCTTGAATATGTGTTACATTTTTAATCATATGTTTTTATTTTTAGCACCTTTTGTATAACCAAAAAATAAGAGCAAAAAAGGCAAGTAACAAAGTTAACAACCAAATATAGCCTCAAAATATTTGGATGCAAATAAAACCAAATGCTAATTTCTTAATTCTTATTGCATCACTTATTAAACAAATAAATTATAGTTATCTCGAAAAAGTCCTTTTTTTCTTTTATTGGAAAAACTCAGACAAAATACCAAACAAGCAGTGATTACTTTTCCCATTTCCACTATTTTCAGTTTTTTTTTTTAATTTGAAACAACAAGGAGATAGCCAACTTAAATACTTATCTTATAATGTAAATAATAAACATAAACATAAACCATAAAAAAAGGTAAATATGAAAAGAGTACCTTCTCTCTAAAGCACCGGTCTTAATCAGTTCTTCAATTTCTTCTTTGGAAGGTAACTCAGACACTTCTGGTTCAGGCTTTGACGCCCCTTTTGGCACCCATGCGATTGCTGATATCATTCTTGAAGGTTGCCTTCTTATCTAAATTTTGTTTAACAGAAAGAGAAAACGAAAAGCCTTAGAACGTAAAAAGCTGAGTTGAAAGAAATAGGTAACAGAAGATATGATACATACAAGTTGAAACTGATTACTGAAAGCAAAAAAAAAAAAAAAACGCAAAAGGATTGGGGATAGCCGAAAGGGGGTTTTGTTGGACAGCCTAAAACCCTAAATGGTGGCCCGAACCGGTACGTTTTTCATTTTTATCAAAATACTTACCAAATCCATGTACTTATATATTTTATTTAATTTAGTTATTATATTTAAAATCAAAATAATTTAATTTTTTAATTTTAAAAATTATTCAAATTTAATTTTTTATCGTACTGATATTTAATTTTATTGTTGAAAGAGATAATATCAATATTAACAAGTTGACATGATATATTTTAATGTCATAACATAAACATAATAATATGATAATGTCACGTGATACTGATATGATAACGTGACAATAAATGCTAATGTGGCAGATTGAAAAAAAAAATATTTAAAAAAAATTATATCACTTTATAAAGATTAAATTGAATAAGATTAAAGTGTCAATTTACATACAATTGAAGTTAAAAACTAAGTCAAATTTAAAATAAATTTTTAAAATTTTTATTTTATTATAAATAGAAGGAAAAAAAATTACTTAGTTTTTTATATTATTTTATTTCAACATAATACAAGTTATTTATCCAAATCTAGTTTTAGATATGAATTTTTTTTCATAATATTTTTACATAACGAGAATTCAAACTTAATTTTTATAAAAAAGATAAATTAATATTCTTATTTTGAAATCAAATAATCAAGTGAAAAAATATTTATATATATTTTTTAACACAACAAATCTTTTACATTTAAACATTTAACTTATTAATAAATATATTTATTATATTTTTCTAATATTTTTTTAATTTAATTTCTTAACGCTTTAATTTTATTCAATTTAATCTCTATATTATATATTTTTATTCAACTTAATCTCTATTATGTGTCACGAATTTTTTTTCATTCTACCATTTGACATCAACACATTGGCATACCAGTGCCACATCAACATATTAGTGTCACATGGTATTATCACGTTATTAAGTCGATGCTATGTGGTACTGCCCACCATCATGTTGGTGTTACGTTAATATTGACCTCGTTCCCTTAAATGATAAAATTGGATATTGTTAAAAAAATGATTAAATTAAAATAATTTTTAAAATTAAGAGATTAACTTATTTTGATTTTGAGTATAGAGATTAAATTAAACAAAATGTATGAGCATAAAGACTTTATGAATATTTTAACCCTTTTTTTTACTAATATTTAAAAATTCTATCATTTTTTTTACCATGAGCAATAAGGTATGAGGAAGTCTACAATGAAAAGGTGAGTTTGCTTGTGTGAAATTTTTTCATACACTATGGCCACTTGTTTGCTTTGAGGTCACTATTTCAATAGTGGAGTTAAAACATTTTATCATTTTCTTTTAATAGAGAAATAACAATTATATGTTTTAAATAGTTTATGACTTTTAACCTAAAACAATTTTAACAAATGAAGAACTAAAAAACTATAACTCCCTACTTAATAGTTCATCAATTATTACCATAAAATTTATATAATGTTATCAAATAATATATGATCATATCATATGTATATATCATAAATAAATAAAATATTTATTAAAATATAATATATATATGAAATTAATAATTGATATAGTAATTTATTTATATAATAAATAAATAATAAAATTAGTTTTTAAAGACATATATATGTTTAAGAATAAAATTAATAAAATTATAATAAAACTACAAATTTTAAACTTTTGTAAAAAGAAGGTTAAGGCTTAGCAGGGATTATACACGATGAATGGAACTAGAAGGAGAAAAAATAGGATTGTAAAGAGAGACATGTTTAATACTTGTAAGCAAGGGCATGAAGCTTAAAAAGCTTCTTTTAGAACATGAGCATGCTTCCCTCTGGCTTAGTTGATTTCTAAAGAATTTTATAGCATAATAATTATATGGGAAAACTTTTGTTTCGTCTTCAGTGTTGGAAACATTTCTAATTGGTTAGGAAAATATTTCAAAGTTAGAACACAGAGGGATAATATGTTTAGAAGCATTGGTTTCCATTTATGCTCTCACAACTTAATTGAAAAATGAATTTTATTTTTGCGGGAAATAGAAAAAGATTTCCCCGGAAATGCAAAAACACAGTTTGCCAACCCTTTTTTTTATTGTATTTTCCAATTGGAAATTCGGAATCAGCTGTGGAACTTTCTCTGACCCCACAAGATCTATCCTTGATGGATGGGTCCAGCTAATTCTGACACGCCCTACTATATCGTGCCACGTCAGAGGAAGACCGGCATCCAGAGCACGACAATCGGACGGTTATGCGTCAGAGTTGTTGAAAATAAAATGACCTTTTCACCAACGAATTACCCAAGCAAACAAAAGAAACGATTAACGAACCACGAGACACAGAGAAACGAAGAGGAAAACGGAGCGCCAATCATCGGTCAATTTTAGCCCATGAAGAATCGCTCCAACAAAACACACAAATGCAAGCCAAAAAAAAAAAAAACCCTCGCCACCAAAATCGCTGCACTGACCTCTCCTTGTTCGTCACGTGTCACTAATAGTACGGAACTCGGATTCACCTTCCCGTTCCAGCGCCAGCTCCTCTCATAGCCTGTTCATTTTCTCTCCCCTTACCTCCAAGTAACCAAACTCTCTCTCCACAATCCCCTTCTTTCTTTCCTTTTTTTCCCATACATTTGTTTATCAGGTAAAGCCACTTTTAAGGCAGCTCTCTCTCTGTTTCTCTTTTTTTCCCTTGTTTTGTATTCTTTTTGGATTAAACGTAAGATTCAACTTTCTTTGATTGCTCTGTTTGGTTGGAGAGAAAAAGGAATGGAGATGAACGTACGTAGAGAGTTTTCCGTTTATTTTCCTTCTTTTTGTTAGCTTCCAAATGAAGTTTTAAGCTACATTTTTATTCTTAATGAGCAATTTGAGTCAAAACTCATCGTACTTCTATATATTAATAAATATGTAATGATATTGTTTGCCTTGCGCATGAACACCGAACGTGTTTTTCTCTTATTGTCGTCCACTTTCTGACCTACCAAACGGCCTTCAAACTGATCGTTTTACTGGATTTAGCTTTCTTTCAAAATTTTTATAATGCAATGTGCTTCATATATCTTTCTTTTTTGTTTGTTATAGGGCTTTGAGTAGTAGAGAGTTGAGAAAAGCTTCTTTCTAAATAACGTGTTTAACTCAGTAATGACCAATAGCGAAACGGGCCCGCAAGGGCTGACGAAGAGGCCGTCGCGAAGCGCAGCCACCACAACGTTCTCAACGGAGGTGTTCGACAACGAGGTCGTACCTTCCTCACTTAGTTCCATCGCTCCCATTCTCCGCATTGCCAAAGAGATCGAACCTGAACGTCCCCGTGTCTCCTATCTCTGTACGTCCATTAAGTTTCTTTTCCCTTTTTTTTCCTGTGTTTTGAGTTTTTTAATTAAAGTTATTTTTTTCTGATTTTGATTTTATTCGAAAAAAACAGGTCGTTTCTATGCTTTTGAGAAAGCACATAGGTTGGATCCGAGCTCCAGCGGACGTGGAGTGAGGCAGTTCAAGACTGGTTTGCTGCAAAGATTAGAGAGGGTAAATTTGATACACTACTAACTACACAATTTTCAATAACATTTTTCTTGATTCTATTTTGTTTAGGACAAAAAGGAAAGAATCTTTAAAACAAATGAATTACCAAAAAAAGAAAGAAAAAAAAATCAGAGAACGATTATATGATGTGCTCAATCACTTATGAGCTCTGGTATATCTGCTGATGAATTTGTTAAATCTTTGGTTTGGGTTGTTTACTATTTTTGGCTGCATACGCCTTATGGGCAGCTACCATGTCCCTGGCGCTGGTGAAATCTTTTGCTGGTGTCAATAGAGCGGGAATGTTTGTGGTTTTTTTTCTCAACACGGTGTTTGACAAAAAAAAAAAGAAGGGCATACAAGAATAAATCATTGAAACAGGGAAATGTTTCCCTTTTTGTTTGATATATAAAAAAGGAAAAATAAAATAGAAAACAACTGTTGAGAGTAACCTTGTAAATAACTTTTTTTTGAAAGGCAACATTGTAAATAAGTTATTAATCAATTTAAACTAAAGGAAGGTTTTTTTTAAAGATTTTCCTTAATTATTCAGGTTAATTTTTAAAAGAAGAGATAAGAAGATTGAATTATAAAGTGTAATTAACTACAAAGTTATTCCTTTTTCCTTCATTCTTTCTATTTTACTCTAATCAAATATTTGACGATATATTTTGCCCGTCACTGTTTCCTTCTCCTTCTATTTCCTTTCTTTTTTTTTTCCATGGCCTATTGCTATCTAACACATAGTTTAGAAGGGAAATACTGAACCGGGAAGTTCCTAAAGACAATGAAAAATTTTATAATTTTGTTTGGATAACTAAAAATAAAAGAAAAGGTGTATGTGGAGTACATAAAATATTTTTGAGGAGTTGAGAGAAATAAAATGGAGGGTTGATGTCTTTTCTCGATTTTCCATTTTAATAGTAAAAACATAATCCAAGTAATATTCACCAGTGGCACTTGGTTCTTTTTTCGAGGGAATAATACTTTTTTGGAATTGAGAGAAGGGATTCGAAATGCTCAAGGCTTTTGTTTACGGTCTTTGTATGACATGTTACGTGGCGTGTCAATTAGATGTTTAGAAAACACTACTCCTAGAGAATTACTAGCAAACAAGAGCATTTAAATTCCTCTCTAATTATTCCAGTTAGCGGTAGCGAAAGGAAGGTGAGCTCTTCTGGTTTAGTTTTCAGAACTATTTTATCCTTCCAGTTATCTGTACCAAATCATCGTCACTGATTGATTCTGCTTGCATGCATCTGTTTTGTTCTTGTTTATGTAGATGGCTATCTTGCTTTTTATAAACGCCATATACAATTTGGGTTTTGGAGAATCCAAAGTTCATAGCATATTCAATTGCTTTTGTTTCTTAAGCTGAGAGTTCTGTTGCCGATGTGCCCATGTTTT